CCTTCCCCTCCCCTGAAACCAGGCAGACCCTGGGCCTGGCTTTGGCCAACAGAATTTGAGCAATGTCTTGCCCCATTCAAGCCTGCACCTCGCCAGGTCTTCCGTGCCTCTGCCTCCTTCATGCCCCAACTGTGCCCTGGCCATAAGCCATATCTCCCCTGATGGAGGAGGGGGGAGCAAGGTGGTCACCCCCACCCGACAACCCAGACCCTGCAGTGGCCACCCAGGCGCATGTGAGCCCCGGCTGGACCAGAGGAGCTGTTCCGTCTGGTCCAGTCAAGCTGAGACACTCCACACAGCCAACCAGAGGCTTGGGAGCAATGACGGATTATGACTGCTTCAAGCCCCAGGCTTTGGGACAATTTGTTATGCAGCCTTATTGGGGCATTTCTATAATTCTTGGAATTCTACCTTGGTCTCTAAGACTCTGGCCAATTTATTCCCAATGTGGGTTTCAATTCTTACTCATCCGCCCCCGCCACCATTCACTGTCTGGCCCACCTTCTTCTCTGTGGACATGTCAAGGACCCACACACCCCAGGCCCTCTGCACTCCCCTCTGCCTGGAATGCTCCTCCCTGAATGCTGACCAGGTCTCCACCCTCTGCTCAACATATATGTCTAGGGAAGCCTCCTGGACCACTCTTTAAAAGTGCTACCATATCACTTCCTGCTCCTTCACCCGATTTACTTTTCCGCAAAGCACTTATCACTGCCTGAATTATATCACACGCAATTGCCTTTTTCTTCACTGGGAGTTGAATGTTGAGGTCTGTTTTGCTAACTGCTATACCCCTTGTACCTGCAAGAGTGCCTGGTACATAGTGCTCAATCAACCCTTGTGAATGAAGGAATAGTCAGGCAATAACCAGGCTGGGCCCAGGGATGCCAGGTGCGTCTCACTATATAGATCCCTGTTAAATGCACCTAAGTATCCCTTTCTCTTGGTAGGGATGCTGGAGACAGGGCAGTTTCCCAAAGGACAGGATGGATGTGCCAGCAGAGTCTCATTAGACCATCCCACTTGCTTCAGACTCCATTGCTCTTCCATCTCTTGGTATTTCAAATTCCACGGACCAGGAATGAATGGCTCAGGAATACTACCTTTTCTCTTGTACAAGTCCCATCAAAAAGAACTCAGCTGGGCATGTGGCTCATGCCTGCAATCCCAGCACTTTGGGAGGCCAAGGCAGGCAGGTCACTTGAGGTTAAGAGTTTGAAAGCAGCCTGGCCAACATGGTGAAACCCCATCGCTACTAAACATACCAAAAAAATTAGCCTGGTGTGGTGGTAGGTGCCTGTAATCCCAGCTACTCAGGAGGCTGAGGCAGGAGAATCTCTTGAACCCAGGAGGGGGAGGTTGCAGTAAGCCAAGATCATGCCACTGCACTCCATCCTGGGTGACAGAGTA